CGTGTCCTCACCTGCACTCAAAGGTAGACACACATCCGCCATTAAAGCAAGTAACAGTGAGTAAAACAATGGAAATGTGTGTGAATAGAGTATTAGTGTAAGCGAGATTAGCGGCAACCACGCTGGCGATGCTAGCGGGCTATATGCTAATAGCGGACTCGGAAGTCAAAAATAGAACTAGTGCTAACAAAGCGCTCTGATTGTTTTTGTTGTAGAATACGATAGGGGATATATTCACACGTTATAAAACTGAAAAAGGATGGTGTATAAAATTGATTTTAAGATAAAAAAATTAGACGACAAAGAATTAACTTGACGGAGCTCAAACTCAAACCACACGGCAGCAACAAACAGGATGCAAAACTGAGCACTAACATGCAGAGGTTATGAAACCTTTTATCTTAAATTACGTCAATATTAAAACGTTTCAAAATAATTTAGTCTATTCAATTACATTGTAATTAAGATTCAACACCTTAATTACATATTAAAATCAGACAGGATGAGACTACTTTCTAAAACAAAAAAAGTTTAACATTTTTATGATTTTAGATATTAAAATGGACATTTTCTTTTCTTATTTCAATGTCTAGGTAAATTGCTTAATTTTGTCACTTTGTTTACCTCAGATAATTTTCCCGTAGAACTTTGTTACAGTTGATAGTGATAAACTAGTTTTTTCATAATTTAACTGCAGCCTCAATGCTGAATTCTCAGCACAGGTGCAGTTTATGATACAGCACCAGGATGCAATTCATAAACTCATTAATTCATAAATCTGAATATTTCTAAATGTCTCTCATTTTTCTGTGACAAAACCAAATGGTTAATTTAAAAAAAACAAAAACAATGCTGTTTCTAAAATAAAAAAGAGAGGGGAAAAAAGACAAAGACAAAGATTTTCCCGGGTCCTGGATTTGCAATGGCATCCTGTGTTCTTGGATGTGCCGTTGCCAAGGCAACAGTAACTTGGTGACCTCGTTATTTCAGCCTAATCCAGCGCTGAAATTATGGTTGCTCCACCCTTTTGCCTGGCTGCCCTGATAACATAATCATTGCAGATGAGGCACAGGAAGAGGAGAGAGATAGAGGGAGAGGGAGAGAAAGAGAGTGACAGAGTTAGACCGAGATCCAAAGATGAGAAGAGAACCGGAGAGTGAGAAAAAGAGAGGGAACCAGAGCACTAACATGCAGAGAATGACTGCATAGAAGGAGTGTTGGTGTGACTGATGAATAAATCAACAGTGAATCAAACCATAAAATATAACTACTTTAGTTTTGAATTAAATAACTCCTGAAATTGCTTGGAGACCAACCATTATCTTGTTTCAAACAAGATACTTCAGCCGGCTTGCAATAAGATGCCATAAATGCACTTAAACTGTAATCTGACAATACTCCTCTTTATAATGAATAACTATCAAGGCTGCAAATTCACACTTTACATATCTGACATGCATTCAAAATAACCAGACATTGCAATGCAGCTGAATAGGAAGTGGGTATATGTAACATGTATCTAAAGCAAAGGGTTTAGCTGTAATTGACTGTTGCTCTGCTCTTTCACCTGAATATACAGTACTCACACAATTTATATTCAAATAAATGGCTTAATAATTAATTTAGCAATGTAAACTACCATCTAAAATAGTGCAAGGAATGATTAAGAAAGATATTTATTTGAAATAAAATGGGAGCTAATATGAATCTTCAGCTTTGCCTCTTTAATAATTCACCAAATTTGCATATCATTATCTGCATATCTCATTACCTCTGACAGAGACACTTACATATTCAAAAATATCATTAGGCTTACATTCTATTGCATAAATTAGCATGAATAATGGAGGACTGAACCCTTTAAACTGCTTAAAAATTGTGATGATTTTGTTTCTTTTTATATAATTTTGTACATGTATATTACTTTTTGACAATTTGATACAAAGTAACTGAGTGTAACTGAGTTAGATGTTTCACAGTAGTGCCAACCTGTCTGTTAAATTTACTATCACGCTGATTTGACAACACTTTAGAGGGGCAAGTTCACATACATTTTTGTACATAAAAACAGATGTAAAAATGTACATGTACAGCTATCCAGTGTAATTACAGCAGTCACACATTTACAACAGTGAATTCCACTCACTTAACTGTGGGGGGATCCAAAGTTCCAAAAAATGCAGTAGCTTTAAGGGGAAAGACTTAGGATTTTATTTGCCTTAAACCAAAAGGTTGATGCAGCATTACTGAATGAGGCATATTACTGCCTGAACTAGAAATTGTGTAAAAGAACTGTGAAGAAAAGAAAGCACATCTCATTATTTATGGGAGAGAACGCCGTCTGATTGACCAGTGAACCAGCATTCACAATATGAAACTGACACTGACACTGTCTGTATCTTCATTCACATTTTATGTCAACTTTTGTCTCAAAACAAACCAAATATTCTCTCAGAAAGGTCTAATATTCATAAAATAAATAATTAAAAAATATACAGAGCGAAGGCATTGAACAGTTTTGGGTTTGACAGTGCTGAGAAAGCAGAGTAGGTTAAAGTTAACACCCGAAAAATGAAGTTTTTGCATTTTTAAATAGATATCTATTCTGCAGTTCTCAGGCACTGTCAAGGGAGACTCTACAATATTATCTGAGGACTTCAGTCCATTTATAGCATGTCACGCTTGTAGAGAATCTGTCACTTAGTTTGATTGACACAGATGTAACACTTCTATGAAAACCTTTTATGCATAACTAGCTCTTATGTAGAAGTATAGACAATCATTTCCCAACAAGGCACATAACACACAACTGCTTGTGAAATTATTGATTTGTTGAAAACTGCTCAGCATGTTGACATTCATGTGGATATTGACTCTGTTTGAAGCAGGTCATGGTAAAATTAACAATGTAATATGCCTTTTTACCAAGCCAATTTATATTTAACATTAATTGAAAAGGCTTCATCGTTTTCTAGCTGAAATATCTGATATAGCTTTTGCCTTTGGTGGTTTCTGACCTCATGCACTTATTTCAGTTTGGTTCAAATATATGGAATGCCTGGCACAGTTGAAACCAATGCAGAATTCAGAGACTTTCAAAATGTAAGAGCAAAACAACAAAAAGTAAAAGAGGGTGAGACAGAGGAAGATCTAAAGCGAAAGAAACCAGTAAACATGTGAGAAAAGTGAGGAAATAACAAAGACTTATTTTACAGACTTGTATATAATTTTCTAAAAATAAAAATGCTAAATGTTTTCTTTTGAAAATGCAGTATAATAGCAAAATAAATGTTAGCTAGCTAAATAAATCATATTATAGGTGTGCACTTTAAAGTTTGAAAGCATGTCAAATAAACATTGCTTCACACCGCATTACAACCATTTTATAGCCCCTACATATGTTATTCATATGATTTTATAAATTTACCTTATTTATACATTTCTGCATAACATGTGTAAGTTAAAGAACAGATATTGCAGTACATTTTGAGTAAAAAACATTTCTATTTGTGGCGAAAGTCTAATAGTGTATTAATAAGAGAGAGAGAGAGAGAGAAAGAGAGAGAGAGAGAGTGTGTGTTCAAATGTGTTGATTGTTGTCCAGGTCAGCGCGGTTGCTTACTAGCGCCATCTAGAGTTGAAGTCGTGGCAAACACTGTACAGGAGGTGAACGTTCCCTTGTGATTATTGTACATTGTACATCAAACAATTCAGTTTACATTTGTGAGTAGGAAACAAATGACCTGTGCCTGCCAAAATGTGCATGCTAAACATTAGGAAGAAACAATGTTTGTCCTCTATCATTTACTCTGTCCTCTCTCTCTCTCTCTCTCTCTCTCTCTCTCACACACACACACACACACACACACCTTCCAATGTCCTCACACTCAAGTTACCACGGCTGAACTAACCACTTCCATCTGTAAGCTCTTCATTTATACAGTCACCACATTTGCCAGACAAAATGGCTTCCACATGGCAATCAGACAGAACAACAACAACTGCAGGGAGAGAAAGAGATTTAGCCAACAAAACCCAGCACTGCAGAGAGAAACCATCAGCCAGACAAAACAAAACAAGACAAGATACAAGACAAACCTTGTCCTCAGCACATCCTGACTGAATACAAACCACCAGCAACTATTTGTTCAAATAACCAGCAGAAAATAAATGAATAAGAGCTTTTTTTAAATATATATTACTGTGGGCTTAATTTTGCCTACTACACTATTTTATCTGGTAGAACTAATATCTCTTAAAGGAACAGCTGACCTCACAATATAATTATTTTATTATTTGAGCAACTTTGTTGTCTGGAAATCCATATGCTGTTAATTTTTGTTCATGGAACACAAAAGAGTTTGTTTTTCTTCAACTTCATCCAGTCCTTTTTTTTTTCTTTTTTTTTTAATCAAAATACAATTTCTGGTTGTGTTTTTCCATCAGTTGTAGAGAAGCTAGTAGGCTAATTGGCTAATGATATGTCAGCCAAGAAAACAAAAAACAGAACTATAAATTGTTAATTTGTCCATTTGCTTCCATTATATACGATATGCCTAATATAATTTAAAGGACAACATGAAAGATTGTCAAAAAGAACAATTGTTTTTGTGTTATATAAGTTTTCTGATGTCAAAGGACAGCTTTGCATAAACAAAACTTACATTTAAAGTCATGTCATTAAATTTAAGATATTATTTGCTCATTTTCCACCTCCTCTGCAGCTTGGAAATCTCAATTATGATTGTGTTTAGATTCACCTCGTGTGCCAATGTTATATCATCAATGCAAAAGCAACATTGATTTTCCTTTGCAATAAACATGATATGCCAGTTTCAAACAAAATAACAGCATATATACAGTAGGTTTGAACTGACATGGGTGTAAATGACAGAAATTCCATTTTTAGGTAATCTATTCCTGCAAATAATACATTTTAAGAATTAAAATATGAAAACATTTTCAAATAATGACATATACTGACAATCAATATTGTTTTCATTTGTCTTTATTATGCAAGTATGGTCCATACTCATACATCAGCAGCAACAACACACTGGGAAGAAAATACTTCGAAGATACAGCATCCATACATGAAATTTGAACCAGTAATCACACATGTTCACACTTACACAAACTAAGGCCACTTCTCTGAATAGAAGACTGTACGTTTCACATACGACAGCGGCACACTTTTTGTTGTCGAGAAGAAAGTCACAAACATACACTCATCATCTAGGCTTTATTCTCATGTATAGACTGATTCAACATTAAACATGTAAATTAATCCTTTGGCCAATTCAGAGATACTGTACTGTGTGTTTCCAATGAGACTGGATGATTGGAAATGCCACATATCTAATTTTCCATCTGCGTTCTGTATGACCTCTCTCTCCTCTGGTGCACAGTATATTGGTAAACATTGCTCTCCTCCACTCTTTATCTTTTTGTTTTTCGATTTTTTCTCTGTTCCACCTTTACTGGGCCGCCGAGGCCTCGGTTTTCCCCCCAGTAGTCACCAGCTGTATGAGGCTGCCTGAGGCTGGCCGGCCTGACCCAGTGGCCCAGCTGTAGAAGGTTCTGTAGAGACAGAAAGAGAGAGGGGGATTGAGAGACAGGTGTAAAACGATGGTGGCGGAGAGAGAGCTAGATAATGAGAACAGAGATGGGAGGAGGGAGACGGAGAGAGGAAAATAAGAACCGAATGACAAGCCTTGTCTACTCTGGAACATTTGGGAGACACTGTAGATGTTTTAGCCCATTGTAGCAACTGAAGTGAGAATACACATTAATTACCTTGAACACAAAGACTATTTATACTCCTCTATCACTCATGTGCTTCTCTAATCCAGCCGGGTTTGCTGCGGCTCCTCTGGGATTATGGCGTTGCATCAAATCCTCATCCTAATCTGTGGCTGGCCACATCTGAGCAAAGCACAGAGATGCGCTAAAAAAGTACAATCGCTCACAGTGCTAAACCTCAAAATAGGTGGAATCATTTTGTGAAATTTTTTGAGAGGCATTTGTGTTAATATCAATTCCGCTGAATATAAATGCATGCGCTTCTCTAAGAGGTCTGTTCTTGGGTTGATGCTTAACATTATTCACTTCAATTTGGATGTAATTCAATCATTCATGTTTGCTTCTAAGAGGCTTTTACAATTGCCTGTGGCTTTTTTGGCTAATATTACTGAATCAAATCAAATGTAACATTTGAGGATGGTTTTTAAGACCTGATTTATAACATTTCTATTATCTGAAAGTGAGATTTTCTGTTGAACGCAAATCTGGGATACGTGAAATAATACATAACAATGTATTTTGGATTAATGTGCATTTCATAATATTCAGATCATCCCCGAATAGCATCCTGCAGACATCAGGTCTCTTCTGAAAGAACATTACTGCCCTCTTCAGGTGAGAAATGTCAACTTTCTGATTTATCCAATTGTATTTCCTTTTAATAGGTCAAATCTGCGGTTTATGATATTATCAGCATGCATAATGAAATATGATGCTCAGTGGACATGAGAAACATGCACTCACTCTGCGATGTATTCCAGCGGTGTCCAGCTCCCAAAATCTGCATCAGGCATGAATTTCCTGTTCATTGGTGTATCCAAGGTAACCCTGGAGGATGATGTCATAATGTTGTTATCTCAGTGGAAGATGAGACTGTGGAACAGAGCCTGCGGCAATAGCTTAGACTAGCATGGCCTTTTGAAAAAACTCACACCCCACAGCAGTCAAATGTGTACCACGCAGGCCACGAACAGTACAAATGACTGCAGATGCACATATGTACAACACAGATTAATGAATACAAAAATACAGGCCTCAAAACTGACCCTATTTCCTTTCTTTATGCCCATTTCTGGTGTTATTGAGTGTTATTGAGAACATTTTGATACACATTATTTCCAAGGAAAAAATTTAATAAATTGCTCTGGATCTTACATTTTAAGCTTTTTTTCTGGTTAAATCTCCTGTTTCTTTGTGAAATGTGTCACGTTATGGAAGTGAATTGAGTTGCAAATGCCTTTTTGTGTTGACTTTCATGTACCAATAATGTTGGTTAATAATTACACTACTGTTCAAATGTTTGGGGTAGCATTTTTTTAAAAGAAATTCATACTTTTATTGCGCAATGATGCATTAAATTGATCAACAGTGACAGTAAAGACATTTATAATATTACAAAATATTTATTTTTCAAATAAACACTGTTTTGAACTTTCCTGAAAAAATGTATCAAGGTTTCTACAAAAATATTGAGTATTTTGAACTGTGAAAATAATGCGAAATGTTTCTTGAGCACCAAATCAGCATATTAGAATGATTTATGAAGGATCATGTGACCCTGAAGAATGGCGTAATGGCTGCTGAAATCTCAGCTTTGACATCACAGGAATAAATTACTTTTTAAAATATATTAAAATATATATATTTCACAATATTGTTTTTACTGTATTTTTGATTAAATAAATGAAGGCTTGGTGAGCATAAGATACTTTTTCAAACATATAAAAAAATTGTACTGACCCCAAACATTCAAACGCTAGTGTAACATTTGAGTTAAATGTACTCAATATTTTCACTTTTATTTTGGGAGAATGCATAACTAAAACAGACAGATTAGTGTATATAGACAGCTATGATAGATTGACAGATGCTCTTACGGAAGAATGGCCACAGCTACAGCTCCAGATGGAAGACCGCTGTTCTCGCCAGCCAGACTCTTGCAGAGCTGATGGACTGCAGCCTTGGCCATGCCGTACCCAACCATACCTGCATCCAGAGAGGAACATAAAGAAGTGAATGGAGCACAGAGCCCTCTTCACACATTGAGTGCTGCAGCTCTCGCTCCATAAAGCTGACTATGGGACACAATGCATGCACACACAGCACTTGAGAGCATGCCAACTACACAATTTGCCTAACAATGTCTCACAGGCAACAGCTGTTGCTTTGAGGTTTGGTCAATAATCATTTGGTTGGATGCCTCAAGCAGAGAATAAAATAGATTTTGCAATACAAAATAAGCTAATTGAATTTGATTCCTCCTACACAGACTATTTGTTTTCTCACCAGCTCTATATGTGAAGCTCTATATACAGAAATACCAGTGTATTTAAAGGGCTCACATCATGAGGAATTACATTTGATTTTCCAATGTACTTTGACACTTAAACTCAAACTTTATACAGGGCGCCTACACAGAAATCTTTGAAGAACAGCAAACAATTTTTTTTTAAATTGTAAGGCTCAGTGAGAGGGTGAAGAGAGGGTGTTTTTAAACGATTAGTAACTTATTTCCTCACTCTCTATACCAGTGGCATTTTAAGTTTTGATATAAAATAATTTATTTTATTTTACTTATCATTATGAATATTTTTGTAGCATTCTAGAGGGTGGATGCTGGATGGGGGAAAGAAAACTGTAAAATGAAGAGCGAAATACTCTTTACAAACACCTTTTGTATAATGGACATTTTTCTATTCTTTTTGCAATAAAATAACAACAATTTAAAATATTTATTATTTATTTATTTTTTCCAAAAAATGGTATCACATTATAAGCAAACCTCAGGGGTAAAAAATGAATGAATTAATGAATTAATGATATAATCCCTTTAAATACTAAAGAAAAAAAATTGTTTAACTTGTGTTATTGGGAATACTCTGGATATTTTAAAAGTAATGTTTGTTTAAAATGTGCTTGTCTTTCCAGCTCCCCCTCTCTAGATGTTTGTTGGCTTGGCATCTGGAATAAATAACCAGCATGTTTGATATAATAAGGGAGTAAATGCTACTTTTTTCAAGATCTTTTTTTTCAGCCTCAAACCCAAAACGCATGATAGCTGTTCCAAAAACACTCTTTAAAACTCACAGAGCCAATAAGAAAGAGGGGTGGAGAAGCTCCATATTTTTTTTCTTTTCAATATTCTTTAAAACATGAGAATCCAGTGTTTTTTGATCGTTTCAGCCATACTGCATGACCCCTCATAACTGAATGAACTTTGTGGGCCACAATTTTAATCACATGCTCCATGTCTCAGGATTTGGCTTAAACTCTCTTTGGTATGTCTGATTTCCAGACTGAACTTCAGCTTTGAGGTCAGACAAACCCAGCATACCAGGACTTTGCAACTATCTCGGCTTAGCGCATATTTGTGCTTTATTATAAATATTTATATAATATATATTTATTATATACTGTATAAGTTAAATGCATAATTAAAACTTAGAATATAACAAAAAAATTAATTCACCAAAAAAGGATTTAAAATGCAACATTACATATTCTGAGGGTTTGGGTGGGATTTATTCATTTATTTTTATTATTATTTTTAATTTCCCATTTTAATTTAGATTGAGTTTTACTACTAGGATGTTGTTTCTTTTCATTCTTCATTGTATGTAATTGTAGTTTTTGTATGTTTTTGCTTTGTAATTTTTTTTGACAAAATTCCAAATTAAAATATATAAACACGGAATGCAACATTACTTAGTTACTCAGTTAGCTACTTAACCATTACTACATCTGACATTACTATCATAACAGCTGTCTTACTTCACCGTCATCAGAGTACCAGTTTTCAGCTTGTGGTGTGACTAGCACATGATACTGATCATGTACGGTTGTAAGAGCTGACAGCCCTATCAGAAATGTTCACCAGAGCTTGCTCCTGTCTCTTTGAACAGGATACATCAAACACTCCAACTAGAGGTTCCCTTCATTTAATATCAAAGCAATGTTCCTCGCTGCAGGGCATTTCCTGTCTAAATCAGTTCTGTGTGGGTAAGGAATACAAACTCCTAAACACAGTCCACATGTGTTCCCGTCTCCAAAAAACCTGCTGACTCATTCCCCCTCCCTGGCCCCTCAGCCAATGAGAGCAGTCTGCTGATGCTGGAGGCGACCTGTGTTGTGTGCTTTATTGAGTTTTGTCACTAAAGACATAATGACATGAGTTGAACATTTCACATCTGGGGCTATGAAAAGATTTGGGAGGTGAGGCAATACATGAAACGAATCAAGTACAATGGAAGTGACAGCCAATTCAAAACTATATACACTTTCAATAGTAGTGGAAAAAGCCTTGTAGTTATAAATGAACACTATTACTGACTTTACCCACCTAAGGGAAAAACTCATGAAGACTGAAGTGTTTTCCTACATAATATTAGTTAGCCACTCTGGGGGTATAAATACACCTTCACACAATAAACATCAAATTTCGAAGAGTCCTCAGGTAAACCTGTGCTGAAAATACATTTACAGCATGTTTTCCAGTAGACAACACATCTCAGGAGTATAAGGATGGATGCTTCTACTGTACCTGGAGTGCCTTCTAGTGAGGCCTTTGCACCAGAGAGGGTCAGCAGGCCTCCTGCATTCAGATGGAGCGATGCAAGATGACTGGAAATGGTGGAGGTCCAAACACTCTGTTTCCACATCATATCAGAGTTCTTATACAAGTCTAAAATGAGTAAGACAGAGGAAAAGTTGATATTATTCCAGTAAAACCAACAATATTAACTAATTGAAATCTACTATAAAAAATATCCTAGGAGAAAAATGCCTCCCAAATACTGTATGTAGTAGACATGAAGGTCTCACTAAATGGATTATCAATGTATCTTTATTAGCTTCCCTTGAGTAAAGCGAAATGTCAAATAATTAGGCAATCAAAGAATTTGCACCCTCTTTCTGTCAAAATTGTACAAATCTATAAATTACATTTTACAAATTTTTGTTTTTTTTAGCTAAATTGATAATGCTTTCAGCTACCAATAAAAAGAGTGTTATACTCTCAGCTCTCTTTAACACATTTTACCATGTTCCACAGAAAATGCAACAAATAAATTAATATAAATAAATACAAAAAACTGTTTTGCTAAAAATAATTTAAATTTAAGTTATAAAAAAATAAAATAAAATAAAAATTACAAAAAGAAAGTCTGCAAGTTCTGTCTGGGTTGACAAATAGGTGCACAGACCTTTTGAGCTACTGTTTCCTCCGGCCCATCCTCCTGCCACACAAACAATGGCGTCGACCTTGTGTTCCCCCAGCAATGTGGCTACATCCGACGTCACCTGCATCAAATCACTTTATTGATGAGACAATACTCTACTAGGCTCTGTTTCAATAGTAATTAGTTCGTTTACTGAAAACAACAGTGCAAACTTAATAATGCAAAATAGACTCTACACATGACAAGGCCAATTTTGACCCTCAGTTCACACTTGTAATTTTGAAAGGGGATGATCAGAAACCCCTTGGGTTATGATCCAGAGTTAAATAATGAGGTGATAGAATGCTGCAGCGAGTTGTTTTGAAACTGGCCAAACCTTCCATCATAATCTGTCTCAGGAGATACCTCATGAAATATTTATGTGCTCAGTATAGTAACAGAAACATTCATGCCATGACCAAGGAATACAAAAGCAGAGCATCGACAGCAAGTGCGTTAACTGGAGTGATGAGGAAGGTTTATAATGACCCAGGGTTAACAATTTCAAGTGTGAAAGCGTAATAGTGTTACAAGAGCACAAAACGAGAGACACAATGCTCTGGCATAAGGAGGACAGCTCCAATGGGTGCCATATTACTGAGACTATTATTAACAGCATCTGAAGTCAATGGCAGACACAATAAGGCCAATAATGAGAAAAGACTGCTTGTCCAGAACACTGGGGATGTGACGGCAAGACAGGAAATTACTTTGGCAGTGTAAATGGAAAATAAATGGCAGCAAGACAGGCAATTTAATAAGCCCTATGTGCTGACAGACACACGGCGAGGTGATGTCAGGACTTTGGCTCCACCCACCTGAGCGGCTTGATCAGTGAACGACTCGCAGAGCTTCACCAGGACGTTTGCGTTCGCTTCTTCGTTCGCTACGATGTCAATGCTGGCAACCCACTTTAACATAAAAGAAACACGTTTTAGCTATGCTACTAGTTATAAATACCTGCTATTGAAATAAACATGCAAGTATAATAATGCGAAAACAAAGTCCAGTCGCATCAACAGGTGTCAGTTTCCGCACACGCGCCAACTCACAGTGACTCGGCTTCTATAAAATCATAATAAAGACGCGTTTCTACTCACCCAGCCTTTTGACTTAAAATAATGCACACATGCCGAGCCGAGAGCTCCTTTTCCTCCGTAAACAAGGACACGGTTCGCAGCTGCCATGGCTTTTCTCCGCTGTGAGACGCTTCAGCAAAGATGATGAGTATCATCTCAGCGCGCACACACACACAGAGAGAGAGAGAGAGAGAGAGAGAGAGAGAGAGAGAGAGGGAGGGAGAGGGTGGGATACACACTCGCTTGTGTAGCAGTTAATGATTGGTTCAATCCGGCATTCCACCCTAAACTCTACAGAAAATGAAAGCCATCTTGAGAGAAGATGAAGTTTAACGAGGCCTCAACAATTATAACGAAAAGTAAAGTTTAAAAAAAGCTTTTGCTGATTAACATCACCTCGCATTAGAAAAACCCAGCAGCCTACCTACTTGTCAAACTTTTGATTCGCGTGAATATTTTTCAGGATAGGCTAGGTTTTATTTATTTATTCATTTTTCCTAGATGGATACCTTTTTTTTGTTTCAGAGGTGTTCTACCGCTTGGCTCCGGTGAAGAGAGAGAGAGAGAGAGAGAGAGAGAGAGAGAGAGAGAGAGAGGGAGGGAGAGGGTGGGATACACACTCGCTTGTGTAGCAGTTAATGATTGGTTCAATCCGGCATTCCACCCTAAACTCTACAGAAAATGAAAGCCATCTTGAGAGAAGATGAAGTTTAACGAGGCCTCAACAATTATAACGAAAAGTAAAGTTTAAAAAAAGCTTTTGCTGATTAACATCACCTCGCATTAGAAAAACCCAGCAGCCTACCTACTTGTCAAACTTTTGATTCGCGTGAATATTTTTCAGGATAGGCTAGGTTTTATTTATTTATTCATTTTTCCTAGATGGATACCTTTTTTTTGTCTTAGCTTTTGAACACTTCACCAATATTTCCCAGAAGAACAAATTAACTTTCATCATCCTGACACCTGAAAAATAGCCTAGCTCTATTAATTTATAAAAAATAAAATAAAAAAAATTCCCTGTAGGACAATCAGTCCCGTCCCGGCATCCTATAAAAGCTTAATTTTTTTTTTTTTTTTTTTTTTTTACATTTTATAGGCTACACAATAGTTTAATTTTTCTAATTATTATAGACTGTATTTGAATCACTATAATTTATACAAACTGAAACCAATATTATTGCCCTTTAAGCATGTAGATAATAAAGTACAAAGTTCTCTCATCTCCTTTGCCAAGTCATGGTGATGTAACTTCAGCAAGCCTTTCTGTAGGCTACAAGAGCAAAATCACAATTGGGGAGAAAAGAAAAAAAAAGGTTTAACAGGTTAAAACTTTATTTTTTGCCCAATTACAGACTGGCCAAAGGTACAGGCTACTGTAAGTCACCCTGTTGCTACACAAGTTATTTCACACTTTTCTATCGCATTCAGTTAGTTCCAATTACTTTTATAATAAATAAAAGAGTAAAATGGATGGGGGTGTCAAAGTACCTGCAAAACAAAAAACAAGACATAGCAACCATAAGCTAAAGATGGTGATGAAGAAAAATATGTCCATAATGTTAGCAAGTCAGTGGTAGTAAGGAATGTAATTGTACCAGATTACTTGATACATTTGTAGTCTGTAGTTATTTTCTAATCCTATTCACATTCACACAAATCCAGTAATGTAAAGCTTCATGCACTTTGATTACTTGCATTTAATAGAAAGCTGATACTTTTTTCCTTGTTAAATCTGAATATATTTATTTTTACCACAAGAGAGCAGCATGCTCCCGTGAAGAACCAGAGATGGTGTGTGCTCCTGAGCAGGGGCGTCACAAGCGGGAGAAAGGTGAGACTGAGAATGGGTATCAAGAGATGATTTCTATTGATTTGTTGCATAGTAGTGCAGTTTGATCTAATATGCATACTACAAGCACTATACATTACGCATTGCAGCCTTAAGTTATGTCAAAGATCACAAGTCTGATTGTATATGCTTTTAAAGATAAATGTTATCTATGCATCTTCAAGAGAGAACATCAGCAGCATATTGCCACGGATGGCTTTTGGGTTTCATATTCAAACGCTGGGGTCTCAACAGGCAGCGGAGCAGAGTTATTAACCCCAAAGGGAAGCCTCTCTGTTTGAACCTATGCTCTCTCTACATTCAATATTCACCAAAGAGTTTCTTCAGGCTCTGCAGGTCCCCGGAGTGAGTGATGAATACATTAGGAAAATACATCATGTTTTTGAGAATGACAACAACAACAACAACAACAACAGTGGAAACACTGAATATCACTGCAACAGCTACAATGGTTCATGCTTTGAAAAAAAAATTACTTATTTTTGTGCAGTTTTTAATGATATCTGGAATACATGAAATGTAAATGAGATAAAGAAGAGTTATAATTAAATTGTCAGGATATAATTAAGAGCAATTCGAAACATACAGGATATCCACTTAAGCCTGCTATGAAGTAAAACATGGCTGAAAACAACTAGAAATAAGTTTATAAATGAAATTATTATTATTGCGTCTGGCCGCAATAGTGATTTCTATTGCAGCAGAAGATCATCTAAGCTCATGGCCAGAATTTTTATGAGTGAAATGTTATGAAGAAAAGCCATGGGATTGGATTTGCTTGTCTTTGTCATATCTGTGGCCGTCTTCATTTGTCTTATTGCATTAACGGGCTCATTGCTTGCCGTCATGGCTGATAATAAGATGTCATGGCTGACAGTCATGCCACTGTGGGCCTCACGATTATGAAATTTGATGAATTCAATCTAGCCAGGACACCCACTGAAAATCTAAATTTTTTTAATCAAAGGCTGTGTAGATTTTGACAAATATTCTACCCATCAAATCTTGTATGTAATGTTTTGTTTATATAACATATGCAGTGCATTCAGATAATATTCAGACCCTTTATCTTTTCAATGTTTCTGTTATGCAGCCATATGCTAAACATTTTTTTCCATATCAATCTAAAAGCTGCAACATAACAAAATGTGTAAAAATACTTAATACTAAATACTTTCTAAATGTACTGTAACTTCACTAGCATTACATTTATATACAGTGGGTATGGAAAGTATTCAGACCCCCTTAAATTTTTCACTGTTTTTCAGCTGCAGGGACAGGACGACTGGTTGCAATCGAGGGAAAGATGAATACAGGGTACAGGGATATTCAGGACGAAAACCTTCTTCAGAGTGCTCAGGACCTCAGACTGGGCCGAAGGTTTATCTTCCAACAAGACAATGACCCTAAGCACACAGCTAAAATAATGAAGGAGTGGCTTCACAACAACTCTGTGACTGTTCTTGAATGGCCCAGCCAGAGCCCTGACTTAAACCCAATTGAGCATCTCTGGAGAGACCTAAAAATGGCTGTCCACCAACGTTTACCATCCAACCTGACAGAACTGGAGAGGATCTGCAAGGAGGAATGGCAGAGGATCCCCTGAAAAACTTGTTGCATCTTTCCCAAAAAGACTCATGGCTGTATTAGATCAAAAGGGTGCTTCTACTAAATACTGAGCAAAGGGTCTGAATACTTAGGACCATGTGATATTTCAGTTTTTCTTTTTTAATAAATCTGCAAAAATGTCAACAATTCTGTGTTTTTCTGTCAATATGGGGTGCTGTGTGTACATTAATGAGGAAAAAAAAAATAACTTAAATGATTTTAGCAAATGGCTGCAATATAACAAAGAGTGAAAAATGTAAGGGGGTCTGAATACTTTCCGTACCCACTGTATATGAATCACAAATGGCTTCAGAATGTTAAGTGACCTTGAAAAGTGTAACAGTAAGTTTCTTTGAAGACATGAAAATACACACTCAAAAACTGTAAAAAACAAGCAAAGTAAAACTCAAAACTCAAAGCAAAAAAAAATCAAAGTCTCCATAGTACACATTGTTCTGTGCAGTTCTTATCTTTTGTATGTTCTTATCTTTTCTAAGTAGTGAGTGGGGTTGGAGGAGAGTTTGGCCCTGAGACTTTGTCTGCAGATTTACAGTACAGGGGTCTCTTCTGAAGTGCACTTGTAAAAATAACTTTAATGAGTGAAGTCAGAAAACAAATCACATCACGACCACAATCGCACTCCACCTCTCGATTCCTCTTGAACCTTTAATTGACACACCATGGCACTGGAGCAAAACAGACCTTAACAAGCAAAACATTTCTCCAGACTTTCATGTGGCGGGCATAATCGACAGCCTATCTGAGGAGCACTCCATAGTACACACAAGGTTGCAGGATTACAATGAACTCACTGACTTGAAGACCGGAATCTCTCACTGTGTGCACAATCTTAATGGGCCATGAAAGAAAAGAAGAGGGATACAATAAAAACAAGATATTTGTCCTCTGCTGCATCTTAAGAGAAATGCTGGCCTGTTGCACGCCTGCTGTCTTCTAAGTGTTAAAAGCACATAACCTCAAAGAACATCTGCTGCTCGAGTAAACAATGAAAAGATTATGAACTTTACACTTGATTCACTTTTGTGCATTTGAAATGTATCTAATGCAGTGAATCCGTGTATCATTCGATCATTCGGTTTTTTATTTAATATTGAAAGTAGAAAAATTTGAAAATGGCTCCTTTTTCGTTTTTTTCCCAAAAAATTCTGCCCAGGTATGAGTTGTTTCGAGCTATTCATTAGCCTGTTTGTTTGATGAAAAAAGACTAAATGTAGTTGCAATAAATGCGTTAAGAATCCATAACTGCAGCAGTGGAGGACTATTATTCTGCTGCGTGATACTGCAGAAGAACTGATGACGGCACGGTTTGATCTTCGGCTGACCAATCAGCAGAAAGGGGCATTTAATTCCCACTCACATGTAGAAATCGAATATTCAAGCTGTTTATTCATTTTCCACCGAAGAACGAAAAACGAAAATTTAAGCTGAATTCTCGTTTTTCGTGTTTTTGAAAAAAACTAAAAAACTAAAAAGGAGCCGTTTTCTCATTTTCAATATTAAATCAAAAAGCGAATGATCAAATGATACACGGATTGCAGTGGGTCCCATTTCTGGAATTGGAAACCGCTGGTCTACTGGAGTGATGATGATTAGCAATCTATAGAAGTTAATGGCCTCATAAAATCTAAAGTTGAGTTTTGTGGCTTTTAGTCCATCTCTATAAGCTTTGTGACAAAACTAAAACTATACTGGCATACTTC